TCTCTGAGCATGTTCGCGCTAGCATATCCCTTACGGGGCAGGCCGTCATTTAAAATCAACCCTGTGACTGAGCTGCCGTCACCAGTCCCCAAGGCGGACGCGAATGCAGATATCCCATTGAACTTTTCTAAGCTGTGCAACCTTTGTAATACGCAAAATTTCGATGTCTTCTTAAGCTCAATTATCCGATCTGAGTGAGTAAACATGGAGGCAAATTAACGTAAGGAATTATTACCGGGCTCTTGCATTGTTGGTATTTGTCCCAGACTTTGGGTCTGTAATTTTGAAGACTTCTTAGTTTGTTTAAGTATTTTATGTATCAGAGTAAGGAGGAAGCTAAACCAAGATCCAGTGCTGACGCATGGTAAAATAACGAAGATTTGCAAATGCTATGAAGCCGCGTTCACATTTGGATAGGAAAACTAAGATAGTTTTACTTACGAGTTAAGTAAGTTTTAAGGTGTTCACGGACAAACGCCTTTGTGTTGCATTAAGTGGTGTAAGGGAGGTGAGCGCCATCGAAATACTTGGAGTACAATTCGCTTTAGTGCAATGCGATAGTGGTTTATTCCTCGGCATTGGTGAGGCGCCACTTTTGTACTTTGAATTAGCCCCTTTATACCTCGCTGGGTGGGCTGGCCTTTTGGGCCATGCCAATAGCCCAGACACCTCTGCGCTGAATATATATTCTGCCCAAGTACTTTGTCTTCTTTCGTCTTCAGGGAGTCCCGGGACGCTACATTAGTAAAGGCCATTTTGTAAATATAAATGCCCTGCAGTTATTTTTAAAAAGCTACTGAAATAAGGGTTTATGGCATTTTTTTATCTCTGACTTAATTCCGTAATTAAAAATGCCTACTTGTAAAACAAATAAGAAAAATTTGACCGTTGACACATTTTTGCGCTCAAGTGAATATCCACCCTTTAAAAGGATACGACATTCCTTAAAAATGCTGAATAACTACAAATTGTACAGAATAGCGGGATTTGTAAGATTTCATGAGCTTGGAATGGGGTTTGTTTAAAGGAAAATGGCAATTTGTTAAAAAAGTAGTAAGCTTAAATTTTAAAATGGCTGGATCCCATTGCCTAAGAATGGCACTAATTGGCTGCCAGATAGAAACGGGCTTCTGAATGCCACTTATCAGCACTGCGGAGTCAGCCTCTTTAAAGTACTTAATTTATCATCTAGATGGACACTGAATACCTTAATAATTATGTAATGCTAAAGGTTCATGGAAATAAAAATATAAGTTTCTAACACTGATGACATCTGATTCTCCAGTTCTTCCACTTTTGCTGGATGAAAATGGTTTTGTTCTACCCAAACCATTTCCTCTTAGTGATCAACATCAGACTCCAACAAGGAAAAGATGGGGCATGTCGCATCTTCCTACGGGTGGTTCAATAGACTTGTTATGCAAAGACGTTAACTGAACGGCTCTACTTCGTAAATGACGAGTTAATACGGAGGCAACCTTATTGTGTCGCATAAAATGAGCTAATTTCTAGCATACTTATAAGTACACATAATTGGGAGGTTCTCAACGCACCAAACTTCCCGCTTATGCACAGGCTAATCATCGTCAGGGTAGAGCATCATGATCACACATGCTATTCAAGACTAGATCAGTCACGGCAGACAGTCGAGAGGCTCCAATCTAGGGATAAAATCGAGCATGGGTACAAAGACGCACAGTCATGTCCCAATCACTAACCACTCATAACTCAACATAAGCTCAATGCACCACAAGCATCAACGACTCTTTTGGCTTATTGTTCGTGAGAATAGACGTTAACTCTCCTCTGATCAGGCATTGTATACAACTGCATTATTACTGCTATTACAAATTACCTGCTGCAAATAGTTTCTGACTGAATATCCAAGCAAACAACTCATCAAAACTGCTTAAATTTAACTGAAAAACACGGTTAAATAAACTTCGCAAACGCCTTTTCTAATGGCATTAGTTACTCAATTTCAAGTCGACATATGCATTGACTAGCGGTTTGGCATGAAAAGGAAGTGGAGCAGACTCACTTTTAACTTAAGTGCCCATTGCCAGAGCAAGTTCAAAAAAGAGATGGAAAGTGATGTATATATTTGCCTTGACTAACAACAAAGCCAAAAAATGTAGGCAAGATCATATGGAGAATACTTGCTTTGACTGGCATTGTACGACCTGCCAGGCAAAGGTATTCACTAGTTTGAGAGTGGTATCTGACAAAAATGAAGCGCCGGTATATTGCAATCCTTCACTTCCAACTCTAATGGAGAAGGCTTCGGCTTAAAGGCCTACTGACATTGTAAAAGTAATAAAGATTATATAAGAAACCGCCAAGAAATACTGGCGACACAAGTGTGATTTAAAGGCCTTTCCAAGTGAAAAGGTCATAAGGATTTGTTGCAAAATGATAATCATGTTGTCTTTGGCAATTTAGAGACGATAATTAGGAATTGGAAATCATAAAGAATTAATAAAACTCCTCGGAATGCAGTAGTGAATCCTTTTTACGCAAAATCACAACTGGTATGTCAGCTTCAGTTTTAAGTTGAATAATTCTTCACTAATCCATAAAGTTAATGGACCACATTTTATCGAGCGTGATTTCTATTGCTACTCGATTTTATTGCCCTTGCAAATGTCCCTAATTTAATTTAACACAAGAAGTGTTTAAAATCATAATGCTGTAAATTTACCTACTACAAGAAAAGATAGGATCTTTTGCTGTAAGATTAGTATCCATTTTCAGATAGGGCAAACAAAAAGCCATGCAATAAGCTAATACCTATTTGAGAAGAACCTTGAGGGAAGTCAACGGTATAGAGGAAAATTACTTTCGAATAACGAATAATTATTAAGAAAAGCTTGCTTCATTATCACAGAATTTACTCAATCAACGAACTAATTATTGCAATAGAGTCATCAAACGTGGTGCAAGGCCGCTTTAGCCCATACATTTGAAAGCACTCTGTCTTCGCACAGGTGAAATCATGTCTAATTTGCGCTATTACAAGTGTCCCACAATACGGGTGCCACTAAAACGCTCTGTGAAATGGAATGACTTCGTCGTAGGGTGAATTGTGGGTCACTGTAGAGATCTATTGCCAGTGCAAGCTCATCATGCGTACAAACCAAGCAACTTACATGAGAGCAGCTCTGCAAAGATGCATCCCGAATGAATTTGGTAGATTATTACCGCTCGGGAACAAATGAATAAAAATGACTGCAGCCGTGACCCATTCTTAAGCAAAAATGACCGGATAATGCTAATGGGAGCCATAGTTATATATCCAAAACTACCAAAATTATTTATAATCACAATAGGTCACTAAGAAAAGTTCGTCGGGCGAATTGCACTAGTTCCAGTGGTGATGTTCATCTCATCATTTAAATGACATTATTTTAGTCCAATTAAAGTGGTGTGACTTAAAACATTTCAAGTGAAGTGATCTTAATTTTTGAAGGTTATGTACTGTAGCCGAGAGTCGACGGTGGTTGAGCTCCCTTGTAAACTGACAGTTAACAGTGATAATTACCTACAAGCACACTTATTATGCAGCATTATTTAAATAACGCATAGAAAGATGTAAAATGGCATTCGAGTGTGAGCCAAATATTTTTAAACTTTCATGACTTTGGAAAGTAAGACTTGTTGTTAATGAACGACGCAAAAATCGCATTTCTTCACATTTAAGAAGTACGTAACTTGCAATCCATGCAGCCTCATGTTAACAAACTGGTGGTGCTATTCTTTATGATTTTATATCATTGGACAATAGGAAGAAAACAACAAAGTGGGACTGCATGGACACGGTGTAGGCCCAATCACGTCTTAAATAAATGCCTTATTTTAGCAAGAAGAATACCTAATGACTGAAATCCACACCCATGCCTATCATCATGCGGATCCAGGTGATTTCATCATCAATGCCAGTACTTAAGTCAAATTAGGCAGGTACCTTGAGAATTCCACTATTTATTTTATGCACTGCCACCAAGAAATGATCAATATGGATTTTAATAGACAATTCATGTATGCTTCACATGGCTGTGTTATCGGTGAAGTTAATTAGGCACCTTACATGCGACAATGTGGCAATGCATACGATTATTTTTTAGTACGCCAGCTTAGGATTCATAGACTTATGCGATTAATTTGCAGTTCAGTCGATGCAATACTTTCTCTTCTAGAATGTAATCAGAAAATATAAATATTTACAATCACTGCAAATAGATCTTGCGGCTGCCACTCATCAAAGAGGCATAAATCCTTATAGATACCAGTAATGTGTTTAAGAGAAAGACTTTCTCACGTGGAAAAACTTAAAGAAACCCACTTAATAAAAAATTTTGAAGGTGTCATTCAAATACTGTTGTTTGTCTTTCATAAAATCAACAAAAAGCAGTATTTTTCATTTAACTGATAATAACTGAGTCCCTCAACTTAAGTGGCGAAATCACCTGACTCCTTAAAGCCCACACAGTTTCAAAGAACGAACGACTATCCATTATAATCATGAATATTGCAAAGCGAACTTTTTTACAAAACATTCAAAAAATGCAAGGAGCATCTTCCGGTGTATACTGCAATTATACCCTCGCACATGTCCTAACATACAGTCTGCGAGTTTCAACTAAAATATTTATCGCCTCATATAAGAAACCTTACAGTAAATTAAGAAATAAGCACACAGCCTTTCATAAGTAAGTTGTACAATGTTAACTCTTCTTCAAGTTCTCTAAGTAATAAATGCATCCTATTGTGCCTCGATGCTCGTCAAGTGACACATGATAAGGTTCGACAAGTGTCGATGAAGTTAAGTTCGAGAATGTGTAGTTTAGTGATGTTTAAAGTAGACTAGATAATACTAGCTTTGCATTTAACATAAAAATAAAGACAACCTGAAATTTTGTCGCCACCTGCTACAAATTGCCATGCTCGTGCGTTAGCCAAAATTTTGTAAAAAATCCAAGGCGTAAAAAAATTATAAACAGAATAAACAGTTTGAAAAGTGGATAAATGGCAGGAGAAATAAGGGTAATTATTAATCATTTTTTCCTTCATAACGCTCCGATGTTAGACAATAAGCCAATGGTATTAAAATAACCTGATATATTTTTTTAGAATAAGTATTGTATGATACTTTTTGAATAAAGATGCATAATTCTACCCCTGAAAGCGAAAAAAAATAGTAAAAATAAAAAAGCAGCAAATATTTTGCATATGCGTCAACCTTCATAAAAGTGGCATTCCATGGGGTAGTGACTTAAGAAAGGAGGTTTTTTAACGTCCAATGTTGTGATAGTAATTTTGGAAATGCCAAGTTTCTGACATATAAAAGAAACATCACCACGCTGAACTATTGCTTGTATATTATTCCAAATGCACTAAATGTGTGGTGCTATCCATGTGATGGAATAAAGATAAAATGATGAATCTAAAATTGCAGCAACTGAATTCTCAAAAGGACGATTTTCATCCATCCCTGAAGGTGGCTGACTTTCAACCCTATTATTTCTCCATACAAATTTATCAGGCATATATTGTATAAGTCGACTATATCTTAGTTCTCTTCATTATTAATGCATGTAAAAGATTAGTAAAAAATGCGTTTTCATTAAGGCAACAATACGCTGGTTACAAATGCAATGCAATGCAAACACTGCCCAATTGAGGGTCGCTTTATTATATCCAAACATTGCAAAATTTTGCTACGACTATTTCTTAGCAACCTAAACCGCTCCTACAAGATTCAACTTTAATGCAGATATGACGTGTAGCAGACAAAAAATGAAGGAAGCATCTGAATCTAGGCGTAAAATGTGCGAGTTATTTCAATTTTGCTGGTAATTGAGCAGTCGAGCACCAAAAATTTCAGTAAGCATCACAAGTAAAATTGAATTTCAAGTCACAATTCCAAATGACACGGAAGAAGGACAGTTTATCTTCTTTACTTCCAACGATGTAATTCCAAATTAATCTTCTGCAGTGAATCATTTTTTGCAGGGGGCACAAATGTGTGACTTACACTTTTTGCATCTATTCTCACCGTAAACTAAAACTATAAGACTGACTGACTCAGCAGTGGAAGGACTTCTTGGCATCAAGTCTTCCTAAACTATTCGATTATACTGCCATTTGCCTTTCTTGAATCACTCTCATCTTTGTAAAGAGAATTCCGATAAGAATTAGACGACACACTTTGAAAAGAAACTTCTTCCTAGTTTCCGTAATAAACTTCAAGATATTTGTGATAGTTATCACCTCATAGGGAGAAAATAGTAGGGATCCATATTACTTATATGCAGTCGGCACGCATTATGCATATGCGTCGCTCGCCATGTTCATTGATCAGAAGATAGCACTCTTACGTATATCCTCCGCTTGTATGTTAGCAAATTAATTCAAAAGTCTATATTATACAGGTGTATCATACCTTGACTACTATCTGCAGTAAAATCAAAGTGATTTAAATAAGAAAACCAACCTTTAATAAACTGTTGATTTTTTTGAAGAAGTGCCTTAGATTACGATGAATTGGGCTTTCTAAAAGTAATCAAACTTAAGCCATTTATTTAGAAAGAAAGAAAGTGAAATCTCCTGCCCATATTGGAATGAAAACATGAGAGTTGTAAAGACTAAATTGTTATTTCAATAAAATGCGGTTTTTTTCCAATTATCATCGGTTGACAACCGTAGTCTGCTCGCGAAATTCACAGTCCACGTAGTCATTAGAAAGAAGTTGTTTGACAGGTTATCTTTGGTTTAAACTGAAGCTAAATATCAATTGTTGATGCACAATAATCGGTCATCTACTTTCTTAATTAATACTCCATTACACACTCACTTTTGCATGAACTTCCAGACTTTTGTCCAGATGGCATGACTGTAGCGTCCAGAGACTTTTCTTAAAATGAAAGTGATAACTGGTAGTTTGCGAAAACCTTTCCACTCACAATTGGCGGTTCTAAAGCTTTACACTGTGTACTTAAGGTTAAAAGTAGCAACGACAAATATAGACATCCCTTCTGATTACTGTACGGTGTAAAGTTGGACCCCGATACGGCGCCTTTGCGCCCTCTCATTGTGGAAAGAGTCAAAAGTTTTGTAGAGCCGAAAATGCAATTTCTGCTTTTAAATATTTACGCTATCCACACTGTGCAAATAACTAAATTTCTGTAAGTCTCATTTCTCCTCTGAACTCAATTTCTGCTAAAATTTGCTAATCTGTTTTTTTGCAATAATTGTTGATTTGTTGTACTTAAAGATTATTTTATGGTATACTTATAATCGATTGCCATTCAAGTTACATTTTGAATCAATTCATCCTTTTAACTGCAGAAGGGCATTATAACTCTAGTCGTTAGTTGCTTTATTCATTATTTCCTAACCGAATATTTGGCATACCTCCCTTCAAAACGCATATTCGAAGGTCTAATGTTTTACTATATTCTGATTTTCTGCAAACCGTTTCACTTTATTGCCGTTGAAGCATTATTACCCTTTAAACGCTGATTGATGTAAGGACTCGAGTCGTTTTATCCGTTATTGCCTAACTAAATATTTGCCAGAAGTTTCTTTAAAATTTATATTTTCAAGTCTCTCACCATTTTCTGATTCCTGGAAACCATTTTACTTCATTGCCAGGTTTATTTTAGCATTGCTTTTCCTTAAAATACTGTCTATGCCTGGGCCAACTTAAAGCTAAATTGATAAGGTTTGTTAATTTATTCTATTCCAAATTTGAAAGCATCTTACCTCTCCTACTCTAAGCATCGCTTTTTTCCCATTTCGCTTAGTATAGGTCCAGACGAATTAGCTTTTACGTGTAGCCATGGCATTTAACTGGGGTTTGCAGACAGTGTGCCATCTTCACACAAATCCATATTCATGATTGAATTTGTTCCTGAATAAAAGTCCCCTGCCCTGAAACTTTAGCCAAAAGATGTTCCGAAATAATCCGCAGTGTCAAACGTGAGGCTTACTGCCATCCCATCTTCTTAGAAAGTGGTAAAATAATGAGTTGAGATGTTTTATTTCTACTTAACAAAGACTTTATTTTCAAGTATGCTACATTACGTTGAAACACCCCTTATTTGAGTACCGATATTCTATGGTACATGGCTACTAGCGAGTTTCTCAATAATACTTTTTGCACTTTAATTCAAAAATACTCTACTCATCCTTCCCAGTCCAAGTGATGGTATGTTCGCACGAATACCTGCAGCAATACAGAAAATACAGAAAAAGCGGTGCATATAGTAACACAGATGCCTTATAGATCAGGCCTTATAGAGGCTCTAGTGTTTCTGCGAACACCACCTTTTCGAATGAGTTCACTAAGTATGAATAAAGAAATACGTAAAGTATTGATTCCGATGAGATTATGGTGCGTGAGTTGTCCCCTGTATCTATTTGCAGACCAACAGCAAAATAAATTTCGTCAGCTGGCAAAGTGAACAGATGCATGTGACTGAATGAGGTCTTAATGTGGAAAGGCCGGATCGTAGCACTTAAGTTTATAAGAGTTCCAAGTGCTCCAGGCTAATCACGGGCAATAAAGCTATGAATATTGTCAGCTCGGGTTTCCTAGGACTGTATATAGCGATTAAGGTTCCCATTTTAAGAGCCTGCATTTTATTTAGCTATGTAAAGCTTTCGGGATCTTAAAGGTATACTAAATGCATTCTAATGGTATATCTTAATTAAAGTTGCAGTTAATGACTTTTTTAAATTTTATGCTACAATTCAAAAGGATACATTCCGTAAAGTGATCTAATTCGTAGAGGTTATTATTAGATATTTCAATCCAGTAGTCGCCCTATATATACAAAATTAGTTCAAAATTTGAATGATATTCAACATCTGTAAGGTTGTTATTAAAATAACAAGTAGTTTTCTGTTAAAGAAACTGGTTTACTCATTAATCAATCCCAAAAAACAACATTTCGATAAGAGAAGGAACTAGGCATGCTTTTTGACTGCTATAAACTCAAACTGGTTGATCTCGTCGATGAATTTGTCAACATATTCCGAGTCGACAGAGACAAGAATCCTAGTCAGTGGTTGATACTCAGCCACGCTCTGCGGCCTTTCCAAAAGCAGCTTCTTTTCATCGAGGTACTGAAATTTGGCAGTGAAAAGTAATTACTTCTCTCATATGTATTAGTCCAATAAGTAGCTTTTACATCTGGGCTAGGTTCTCTTCCAAAAACAGTTTAACATAAATCACAATGAACCCAAATGCATGTCGCAAAAATAGGCCAATTTGCCTAAAAATCACTTTTCATTTTCTTTTTTAATGGTTATAAGCCAAATTTTTACAGCGAAAATAGACCTTTGGTTAATGGAGTTATAGCAATAGTAGTATTGACTGTCTACCCAATTTAATAATTTCTTTTATTTTAATAGGTGTTTATAAAATGCCCCACAGGCAGTTAATAAACCGTGAACATGAACGAAACTCCAAATTCCTCTACATTTTTTCTACAATACCAAAATGAATGGACTTGAAAATGAGTCTGAGGTTTTTTAATTTATTCCAGAATCAGATTTCCAGCTTAGCTAAATCAGGGTCTAAGATGTGAAGTTTGCAAGACCTGACTTACGCCTCATCACAATAGCGTCAGTATCGATTCATGTGTTACAGGCTTCTCCACGTGGTGCTGAGTGCGATTTCATCCTGCCACACCATTCACTATCTGAAATGATTTGACAACAATCACGCACTAAACTATTCTTCTTACTGAGCTCCCCATTTCAACGGAACCTCTTTAGCCCTCTTTGAAGCACTAGCAAGACTCCAGTCGGGGCAAAGCCTCAATCAGACAAATACGACTGATGTAAAAAATATGCATGCAAACCGTGTACCCTCATGACTCTTTATTTTAAGCTCTTTCTGAGGCTAGAGCTGCCATATTCAAACTTTATTTCACATATGCGAATAAGTGAGTTAATCGACAGAGTCAAATAAATTAGACCTTGTCGTAAACACCTACATTCTTGTTGTCTGCGTCCACTTACACTATTAATGATCTATTATTTCCTTTCACACACTAAAATTTGAAATTATATTGGCTATAATAGCAGGTGGAAAGTAATTTAAATTTACCAACGACTATTTGTTGCTGTCAGAGTGAATGTGTACAACAAAAAATATTTTAATATTTAATTAACTTCCAAAAGGTCTTTTATGATAAAGTAGGATTATTGCTCACCCTGTTTACGATCTCCTGAATCGGTTCTGTTTGACTAGCTTCACGGTACTCGAAGTGAACGTAGATGAGAGCCATTTCTGTTCCAGTGGACCGTAAACGCTGCAGCGCAGCTGCTTGCGTCTATTTAACCGCATTTACATGCTCCCATTTCATTGGTACAAATCGCGCCAATTAGATTCCTCCTCTGTTGTAACTTAACCCTGGTGCACCACGCACGGACTTGGCGTGACTAGTGTAATACGATAGTGGTTTATCCCTCGGTTCTGGTGAGGCGCCACTTTTGTACTTTGAATTAGCCCCCTTGTACCTCGCTAGGTGGGCTGGCCTTTTGGGCCATGCCAATAGCCCAGACACCTTCTCCGTGCTGAATATATATATATATTTTTTTGTCTTTTTTCGTCTTCAGGGAGTCTCGGGAGGCTACACTAGGTCAAGTTAATTATGATTCTTAATGGACTACATATTGGACGGTATCCAAGTTCTTCTTGAGTGAATCATCAAATTTCGAAAGGAATGCATACGGGCCTCCCTATTTGAGCTCTTGGATTGTTTGCTAGAAATAGAAATTTACTTATTTGATTAATATAATTATCTAAAGCATAAGTTTTTATTGACAAATGAGATTAGTCAACCAATTTTTGATAAATATAAGATTAAGCGACCATTCCTCTTTGTCTAAATATGAATATATGTACAAAAATTTCGCCTTGTAATGCATGCATTTCCACCATATGTGGGTGAATGAATATACATTATCAAATTCATTCCTGTGACTATTACAGAAGGATACTGTAGTTTATTGATACAAGAATAGCGAGCTTCTTAAAATGAGTTTAGTCATCCCTTTACAAGATTGGTTTTCATCGCTTAAGCTCAAAGCATTAACAAATCCTCTAGACCACGGTTACTAAAGTGTCCAAACACTAACAAAATTCGTAGAATCTTAATATCAAATATTTATATGAATAGCAGTATTTTGAAAGTAACGGAAATAACTTCTAATTATAGACGGCTTGCAAGTTCGTTATGTTGTCTACAAGTTGTCATCAAGGTGCATTATGTTATGAAATGTTGGAAGCTGTTTTGATCACTTGTGAAGGTTACACAGCAATGAAAACTTTTCCGAGTCATGTAATGTAACATCAAAGCAATCGTCCTGCTAGAAGCAGCAAAAGCGTATGCATTGCACATTACTCATTTTGGAATATTATAAATCACCAGTTTGTGCACAAAGTAACCCATCTACACCCCACGTTGGCAGTAGCATTTAGGGACCATCTTATGAAAATTTGGTTTTAAAGGATAAGGCACGAAATTATGTTGTAATTGTAAAACCATCCTGTGCAAGTATGAAAAAGAATCCCTAAACTTACAATCATGCTCAAACAAACCGCCACCTTAATCTCTTTTGAACTCAAACATCGACAGTACTTAATTTGATTATAAAAGGTAATCAGAAAGGAATTTGCATTACAAATTAGACGTACACAGACTTTGAATGTTCCATTAAGTTCTCTTGCATCCTCAAGCAACGCCACAGTAGAAATTAATGCTCACAATCCCCGTTTCTTCACAAACAAGGGTTCCGTAGTCTCCAGCACTTGGATTATAAACAAATATTTCGATTAAATTATGAGTTTCACAAATCAAAAATTCATAAGTTCCCTTGACCTTATCGCTTAAGCCATTGTTATCGTCCTGAGCATTCTCGCACTTTCATTGATTTTCGCCATATCCTCCATTGATATTTCGCTCATAACAGTTTTGAAATTGAAACAACATCCCGAACATGATGAGCGAATGGAATATTGTAAGGATTTTCTTGCCTAAGAAAGAAATCTCGATTATTTGAGGTTATGACTGGCCAGGCACTTATACAAAAAATGTACGATTGTTACTTTAATCGCTATAAGACCAGTCTGCTGTATGTGAAGTATTCGAGTTGGTTTTCTTTTGCAATGATGTTGAAGGATTTTATTTTGTAAAAGATTTTATTTATAAACGTCTTCCAGCATTTGAATGAGGTAGCACGTTAATTGTTATACTTTTGATAACACTTTATGAACTGCAAAGTAGCTGGAACCGACTTACGTAGAAATTTTTTATAAAGGCCTTAGTCTTTGTGAAGAACCGAAAATCTTAGCAAGTTTTCTTTGTGATTGGTAACTCTTTTTAGTTTACCTGAACTATTATGAATCTCCGCAACCAACTGTTATTCGTGGCATTAAATGCGGTTGTCTTATTAACTAACGTCAAATTTACTGAATTCACAGTAACTCCATCTAGTTGTTTTAAGCGCTTTTTCATAATGTAAAGCTACCCATCACCTTAATTTGACATTTGCAAATAAATTCTCAAAGGTAGCATCCTTTTTTACTTGAACTACGATTCGTGCTTTAGTTTTGACCATCAATAAGGGTTAAAATGAAATGTACCCTGCCAATTGTAAGTGATTTGGATCTCCTTGACTACTCAAAGCCAAAACAATGAGTTAAGTTAATTCATTTTAAAGTTCACCAAGATTTGATGAAGACATATTTACCTTTCTTGTGTGTTTGCGTGTATGTGCCAGTAAACTTTTTGTGTTTAGAATCAGCCGCAATGTGTGCAAATCAAGGCAAAGTACGACTACCATCTATCATCGGAAAAGTTCCGTTTTTTGACTTCACAAAAAAACAGTATGTTTTTTGTTTTAGAACCTGATTTTATAGCTATACACTCGCACTGCCTGACAATACAGTGAACTTCAAATTGTAAAACAATGTTATCAAAATACATGTTAAAACCATTCGCCAATTAGTACTCGGCGGAAATTTCCTATGCTACCTACTACCAGCGTACTGCAATGATCACTTGCTTTCCATACTGAAAAGAAGGCCGTGGCGTTACACACTTATGTCTCTAAATTGGTGTTATGTTTATGGATACGTATTTTTTAAAACCTAACAGGATGGCCTAGACCCCATTTGGTGGACCATTAAAGAAAACTAAGTATTAATGTGTTATTAACCTGCACTTGCATTCTAGTTCATATTTCTTTAACTCTACGATAAATATCATTTCAGGAAATGCTTAATTACTGCCTATTTAATTTGACATTTAATGGTACCAATCGATCACTCCATTGGGCACAAAGTGCGCATTCCTTGAGGAAGCAGAAGCATTAGTGCAACCATAGTACTAGAAACTCCATTCCGATGTGACTTAGAATTGCTCCTTCAATCGATGCTTCACCAGACTTTCGGATTCCACATCTTAAACTATTTCACTTATTTAAAAATTAAGCAATTTATTTCTTATGTGCTGAGAGAATTTAAATCGTCCTTATTTCACACAATGTGCTGAGTAATAATCTACAGAAATCCTTTATTTTTCTAAAAACATCTTAACAAAAAATTCATTTGTTTGGATGAATAGCAGTTTAAACGAAATGAATTGTAAGCACACCAATATATCGGTTTTTAAAAATCCCGATTTTAAATTATTTAGTGTAATAACTTTTGTTGGCTTTTGTTACTTTAGTGCTCTCTTATGTGAATCTCGTCATCCCAAAAATAGGGCATTGTGTTTATTTTTGGCATGTAATATTTATGCGCACAATTGTCAACCAATGACTATGTAGAAGCCTCATGAACCGAGAAGCATATGTACAGGTAATAGTAAAGTGACTGACTTGAGAAAATCTCCTCAGTAATAAACTGTTGGTCGATTTGTTGTTAAATAATTTTTGATTATCTTATTGCAGTTGTTAATCTAAAATATTATTCTAACGTAACTTCTGTTTATGCAGATTTTGCTTAACTTTGCTTTTAAAGCCTAGGTGTACCTTTAGAAGACAACGCTAGAAAATGTGACGATGCCTGGTGCATTGTTTCACCCAGGGATAAAAGTGCAATTAATTCAACAGAAATATGCAAAAAAAGGAAGTTGGTTTTGCTAATGTGATTTTCTCATTAACCGTATCTCTGTCGTGAACTTTGTGACTAGAGTAAATCACCGAGGGCGTCCTGTTCTTTTATTACAACACATCAGCCCATACCGTTCACTCTATTTGATTCAAACTTAACTGATTTGACTGGAAAATATCGTCCTCTTCTCCTTATATGCTCTACCTGTTCTTACCCCTAGAGCTATATTCCGGACTGATAGGGTCCCTGGTTTGTCTTAGACCGAGGCACTCATACCCACAAATCATATTGTACTAAATCTGCCTTCTCGATACCGTTTAAATGGTGTATAAGAACAAATCATACAATATTAATGTACACTTGTATAGGTTCTCATTAAGGCCCATTCTTTTCTCCTAAAAACTCGAATTTCTTGGTTTACCATGAACGCTTTTGAGTCATAAGTGCCAAATATTTGGCGTCAATTAGTCGCTTTGATCATTGAAACTTTGAAAAAGCATGAGCATTTTTAAAAGTAGATTTTGAAGTAATTAGTAGGCTACATTTAAGTGCTTCCGAAAGATCAAATATTACATTCGTGTATACGTAAAAGTGTTTGTGATGGTTTGCCAATTTCCCGACTTTCGGTTAAACAATTTCACATCCTTTTAGAAGATAATGATAACCGCAGCTTATTCTTTAAACTTGGCAATTTTTTAACAAATGACTATAATGCTTAGTTCAAGTGACAATAATTTTCTGTGCCCAGTATTATTGGGGAATCGTTTTTATCAACATCCTTGTATGTATACCAAATTCTGAGTGAAGGCGCTTTCTATGGATTAAAATGTGAGCTCCACCAGCTTACTCTCTATACAGACAGCTAACTTTCAACGTAAAGTATTTTGATCAGGTTTTCTATGGTGCGGGGACAGAATGGCCAATGTTATTCTACCATTCTGTACCAGAATGATTTATTTACTTGTTCAGGATGGCATATTTTCAAATGTCGTTGCCTCCCCCTCCGTCTAAGTTACTGTGTGATTTTCAAAGCAACTCCATATCCACCAAATCACCTTTTCTTTAGACACCAAATTGATATCCGGACGAGAATAGCTGCGATCGAGAGGGCTTTTTATGTTTGCACAAGGCATCAACTAGGTTGACGCCTTTCCCCTCATTCTACCCAATTACAAGATTAATTTACTTACTAAAAGGTTTTACATTTTGCATTTCTCACCCTTATGCTTCAAGTCTCTAAGATTTTCTTTGATAAAACATTAGAAGCACAAATTCTGCACAACAAAAGTATTCCGATCTGCTTTTACAAATTTTGGTCTTTTCTTCATATCTGATTATTTTGCCATTTGGTTCCTGAAAAAAAATATGATTAGCAGCGAACACTGGGTAGCAAGCATTTTCTACAATGGAAACTATTCATGCCTCAATAAAATTTATACACTCATGTATTCTTGTAGTTAAAGGCCACCAAAATATGAACCTATGTTTTTTAATCTTCCCCTGCATAAGTTTGATTAATCAAACCTTGACACTATGCAATTTTGATGATTGGAATGGAGCAGAATAATTTATTGAGTTTCTGATACCTAACTTAGGGTTTCGCATGACGATTTTTCATAGTTGTAGCAATGGCCCGAAATACGTTGATTGTTTTGCTGTCAATTCTATTTAATGAAAGAGGCCACTTAGATGTTCCACCATTGTATCTTCACAGGACGGGCCGGCCTCCGAGCCATGCCAGTAGCCCAAGCCCCTATTCTGCCAGAGTATTTTATCGCCTTTTCTATTCAGAGAAATCTCGAATCTCTACAATTATTTTCTCATTTCCGCCTTAGTAGTACATGCACTTTGGAATTGTTACCAGACATTAGTTGTGTGTAGATTATTACTTGGGCGTTACACTCTTGGTACCTTACCGGTTCCCAAAAAGTGAATATTTAATTCATTGCCCACCGTTTTCAAATGTCATGCCTGAAATCCCACTATAGTAACTGGCCCGATACCGGAAAATAAGTATAGTTCTCTCAATAAGGTAATTTCCCCAAATAAAATTTTTGAAGGTAGTTGGCTAGTATACTATTTAGCTTACAAAAATTCAAACAATTAGCTGGTAAAACTCACCTTTTCTCACTTCTTTAGTGTTCTCTTGTGCTTAAATTTCGGGTCATACCCGTAAAAATACTAGTCTAGTTAAATAGACATTCTTAAATTTGGGTGACCTAACATGCCAACTCGTAATTTATTTTCCTTTTCTCTTACTAATCGCTTACAGTGTATCAAGAGCCTTCTTTAACATTGACTTAAGTTGGAAAAAAGGAGAACATGATCAAAATTAATAAGAGATTGGGTGATACTAAGCATGTTGTAAAAGAATTTCTTCCTAAAACTAGACAAACTTTTATCAAACACTTTCATTTCTATCAAACTATTGTTTCTTGATCAGCCAAACAACTTAATGTATAATCATGTGATTTGCAGATTCCAAGGAAAAGCGAGAGCCACTTGTAAAACTAATAAAAGAATATTGAAAATGGGAGTATGGGTGTAACTTTCTCTCACTTCAAAGTTTACTACTTGTGGCCAGTCACTTTTGGAGTGGCCTAAGGCCCTCCATTGCCTTGAAAGACTTCCCGATTTTAAAGCAAAAAGTTATATTTTATTAGGCAAACGTTTGTGGATTATTTTCTCCTTCAATAGTTATGCTGAATAAAATTAAAACCCTTTTCTAATGCTAATGTGATTTTCTAACTAAAAATGCAGGCTATGCATGGGTAGAGATGGAGGACTTCTTGGTATATATGTCAATAAATCTATTTACTGTTTACCCAAACTCCTTACTAACTTGCATTCCGGTTTCCGAGAAAAATTATATAAGGGAGAATCATACCTATTACAGCACTGCGAAACCTCTTGTTAGCATTCATTTTTGTAATCATGCACTTAAGTCAAGCTGCGTGTCCCGGATACAGAGGCAGTATAGCTATTCCCTTTGAACTAGTCGCATCTTTAACATCATTATAATTCTTGCCTTGACATTTAGATAAATTCCCAAATCTTCCTCAAGTGTAACAAATTTTGCAATGGCAAGAGAATGCACAAAGAAGGGCATAGATTTTCGCAGATTGTGGCATTTGACTGCATCCCCATTTGTTGTTAACGAAATCTTAATGGTGCACGAAGATCACTAAGTTCATTACCTCATTCTCTTTATCTATTAATTGGACGCTCCTTAAATGTCAGCCAGCGATGTCAAAAATTACTTTAAATGGTTCTTGGTTAATCAGTAGTTATCATTTTGCTTCGCACTGAAACATCAATGGCAAGGAATCTTAGTTTAAGCGCTTTTTTACATTAAACACCTTTCTTTAGATCAGCGTATGCCGCTTAGTGGTCATGGCCAGCTGGCTTTTGTGGTACACTGTTGCCAAGTGTTTCGCTATCTCCTGATTATTAGCACACACTAGCCTATCAAAGGATGACAAAAATGCTATTTTTGTGTTTGCTGGAAAGGTAGCCCTCAAGAAATGTTTTGTGATTACGAAGGCTATAAAAAAACAGCCATAAATGGTACCCAAATTTGATCATCCTCTACATAATCAGAAATAATCCAACAATCTGAAAAAATAGGATGATGAATGCGCATGAGCTTAAATCTAGCCCTTAAAGAGAATATCCTACTTTTATTTTATATTTATGTTATGAATGAAACCTCTATTGTTTTTCTTGCATGAAATGTCATAACTGAAAATGTATTACTTTATTCGATGCACACATCTTTAATAGTGTTACCAAAACCGAGTAAATAGAATTATACGTAGCACTGTTTATGTGTTTCTCCATTTGGTGTTCAAAAGGCTACATTAGGACAAACTTAGATGTTTCGAAAATTATTTGTTACGACTGGCAGAAATTCGAGTTATAGGAAGGCTCCGCCTACAAGTAGTTATCTGTGTAACTTTTTCCCAATTCGTAGGTCCATAATAACGCAACCTAGTATTAAGCATGCTTGTCTTCTTTCCACTGCACTTTTCAGCTTTTAATCCTGTGGCTTTTGCAGCCTTGGTGAAACTACTCACACCTTTTAAGTAGCAATTCACTCGATCGCTCCTATCAAGCACATTTTGATTTAGTTACCCTCTTCAGGGGTATTATTAATATTGAGGTAAGCACATTTAGGCATAATTTTCAGTATTTAATAGCATATATTGATTGTTGTGCACCAAAACAAGAAAACTTCTTCGAAAATGGTATTTTGAATTTAGCACGCGTCATCTAGATTACTTACCTCGAAGATCAGTCGAAGCAGGTACACAAAGATAATTTATGTCTTGTTCATTTATTTTTTAGATTATTTTCGTTTACAATAGCTAAAGAATGACATAGTTTTGGAAGGCTTTTTACAATTCTGTGATCAGTTATTTGTAAATTTGATTAAAACTCTTTTATCAAAGGTATCGCACACCAGATTACTAATCTGTTTAGGCACCAGCGCAAAAATGATAGGAGACATGCAGTGAATGAAAAAATGACCTCCATTCACGTGGTAAAACAGTTTTAAGCACAAGAAATTAACATGTCATGGTGAAAACAGACAACTAATTCCAGCACAATTATAATAGCATTTTTACTTAACAGCATAATATTTTGTCTGACATTATTCATTTGCTTATTTGGAAGGGAAAATATTCTTTTACATCAAAGATGGAACTCCACA